ATTTGTTCGCGTACTGCTTCATCTTGGATACCAAATAAATGCACTTTACGCGGACTGAGATAATAAATCTTACTTACTTGTTGATCGGAATGAGGCACATGAACATTTTGCGCTCAATCGTAACTGTAATGAGCGGTAGCGTTAACACTACAATAATTAGCTTTACCTCTTGTTATATCTACCAATTTCCTCTGTTGTTCTGCTAATTTCGTATTTTTGTTATAATAGTTTCTCTCTAATTTAGCTTTAATTAAATGTTCTTTGAATTTTTTTAGTAAGTCTCTTGCTTCTTCTTCTTTACGAGCGTTATACTGTAAGCCATTCCGAAAATGTTGGCACGTGTCACATAAATCCGTTCGTGGACTCATGATTTGAATATAAGGCGTTAATTGGTGTCATAACTTGCGGAATGCGTCATATTTTAACAATTTTAATGTGCTATCGTTTTCGAGACCTGCAATAAAATCACGATAGACTGATTTGTAACTCGTTTCAGCTGGTAAAAGCGTAAGCGATTGAGTAATGCGATTGACTTTTCTACCAGGGCTTGGTAATCCATGAATTTCAGCATAGTTTTCGAGAAAGTTCTTCACGGCGGTAGCAACGGTTATATCGATGGTTATTTTGGTTTTCCATCGCGGCACTCGTTTTACATTACCATGAACACGCGGTATTATACCATTCGTCGCCAAATGATTTCTAACGTTCTCAAAGTGCGTACGGCCAATTCCTAACATATTGAGATACGTTTTCTGACAAAGCGGCGTATTGCGATCTCAATAATAAAAGGTTCGCTTATTAGTACGCGTTTTCTTTTTAAGACGTCGGCTGGCAGTTATTTCTCCGCCATTCATTGCTTTCAGCTGGGCCATTAAAAAGATGTCTTGTTCCGACTTGGAAAGAGCCTGAAAAGCCTCGCGCATCTCGGCAAATGCTTCCTTGGGAACTTTGGAAGAGCAACCACAATTACAGCCTACTTTCAAGAACTCAATTGCTTTTTCATATTCAGTTGTTATAACCATATAATATATTTTATGTTCAGTTTGTCTGATTTTGTAAAATTTCTTCTATGCAGTGTATTAAAAGTATATAGGATTACCCCTATATACCCTATTACTCTTCTGATACTTTTCTTTTTTTCCTTGATTCTTGGTTAGAATTTTCCAATGCTCGTCTGATGGTCCTTTCTTCTTGGTAAACCTCATAGGTTATTCTCTCTTTATCCAAATATTCTTTTATAGCTTTCGTATCAGATATTTTAAAAACGTAAGGAGCAATTTTCTCACCTCGTTCTCGTTTCAAAATGCTTCGGATGGTGCTGTAATTTTTAGGTTCCATAGTAGACTTGATGTAAATTAGTTTCATATTCATATTTTGTATAGGGATAGTCGTATGCCAGTTTACCTTTTACAACGGCCGTGCGCCAGTTCCACCTCAACATCAATGTCTAGTGTTGAATGTGTAATGTCCGAACTATCGTGTGAGCGACGCGTTTGGAATGTGCCAAATGCATTCTGAATTCAAGATATATACAAATATGCAGGGTGCGGGAAGAAACGCAATGTACAGATTACGCGATCTGACAAAGCGGTCGGAGAAGGAACATGCGATGTGTTTATCACAACCGCAGTTACGAAATATCTGCATGACGGTTCTATTTGTGCACAGCACCAACTTGACGGCTTGGTTCCATCAGACCGGAAGTATAATTTTCCCAGCATCGCCATCAAAAAATTTACGGACACGTGATTATTTCTATATGTAAGATTTGAGTTTAACATAAATTTACCCTAAATTAAATTTTGCTTCTATAATTTCACCCATAAAGTCATGTGTCCGTAAATTTTTTGATGGTGATCCAGGGGTAGTTCCGGAAGTATGGAACAGTCACGTGCTGATGTTGAAGCATCACTTTGAAGCGTCGAGCTTCAGTCGCGTCAAAAAAAGCTTCTTCCTCCACCCACTGAATACTTCTCTCACTGACTTTTCACCCCTCGTTATTGATTTGACTACAGTATGTATGTATTATCACAACGCGTTCCAATTTGATATCTTTTCCACTGGAATACTTATTACTGTAATCATTTCATAGCATTCACTCGGGAATTAGCACGTAAGTCCGCTTTTCGCTGCCCATCCATTTGTCTGATATGATAATGCGGCTTTGTTAGAAACTATCTGGATGACTATATATTCTCATGCACCTCACCTCTCGATACGTCGCGTCGCTTCGCATTGCGTATCCTAGAATGAGTGAAACCGGTATCAACTACACCGACGGAGACAGTAAGTGGAAAAAATAACTTTTTTTGCAGAGGAACAGTAAGCTTGACTGTCTGTATGCATTTTAGCTATTACGACCCTGTACTTCCAGAAGCACAGCTCTGAAAAATGGACATATCTACATTTTTTGAATGACAACCGCTCTACAATTCTCACGTTACCGCCTTTCGCAAACACATGGACTGGTCTTGATGGTGCATGGAGAACGCGTTTCCTACGGATAGGCCGAACAATGCAAGGATGGAGTGACTTTAAGCGGAAGGTAATTATTTTTCTTTCTTCCTGGCATGTGGTGTGGAATCTCTTGGGATAGGTATTTGTTTCTACCTTGCCTGGGAGAGTAAAGAACGGTGCTAGGACCATCTTCTCTTTCCATATCATCCATTCTCTGGACACTGGGGACTCTCTTTTGGAGGTTTCATCCTTCAACTGAGTGATGAGAGCGATGCCGAGAGACTCTCTCCACTCCTCTTTTCGACAGTGGATGCCGAGAGACTCTCTCCACTCCTCTTTTCGACAGTGGATGCCGCCCTATTTCTTCTTTTGATTGTAATAGGCAGTTATTGCAAACGTGAATACATCTAATCATTTGTAATATTCCTGCAAGAACCATAGGAACCAAACCCAAATAAACTTTGTCGGTTTTGGGAAACCATAATTGAAGACCGGAAAAGCAAGACGATGGAGGTATGGAATGAAGAATTGTTGAGGTTCAGATATTTTAAGAACTGATCGCCTGCAATGTGCAAATAGATGAATGTTGCAATCAACTATGAACATGCGAGCATGCATTTGCTGGAGCTTGCACGTGAAAAGAAAACTGAGGCTATTGCAAGTATTATAGAAGAACGTTCCAAAAATCTTGACAGCGCAGCAAGTGTCGACGAGGGGGAAGAGCGGGGCGAGCCAAACGTATGCTTGATGTCAACACTAATTGTATTGGGATCCCCTAATTTCTGATGTGGCCGATCTGATTCCACTTTATTATAGAAGAAATGAAGTAGATCTGAGAGAATGCCATTGAGCGATCTCACAAATGTGAGTGCTGTGGCTCCGAACTCTTTCATTGCCACGCAACCACCCTCCATCACCGACATCAGGGGATGGGACACGGAGTATCTTATCAAACACCTTCAGGGCAAATTTCCTACCAAATTCATTGAAGAGGACTTTAGAATCTTGAGGGAAAATAGGATTGAGGGCATCGCATTCCTGGCACTGACGGAGGAGAAACTTGAGAGGTATGGTATGAAAGGTGGACCTGCGAATGTCATTGTTGACTACATCGAAAAATTGAAGGGTACGTGGCATTCGAGCTGTTTTGTACTTTATTTCTTAAATCTGTCTCTTCATCTAATCGTTTTCTTCAGATGAGCATCCTTCGAAGAAGGCACGAACAACTGGCCTGCACGGGTTAGCATCCAAAGTTGAGGATTCCCGATCTCTCGAAGGTAGTGGAGAAGGGGCCGATGGTTTGGCAACCATTCCCGATGAGCGCCTGGCCCGCTTCGATGCTTGGATGTCAGAGAATCCCGTTGGCCTGCTGCGAAGCCCACCGTTCTCAGGGAAAACCACGCTCATAGAGCTTCTCAGTATCTACCTTAGAAGGCTCGGACGAACGGTCGTAACCATAACTATCCAAGAAAGTGAAAAACATTTTTCCAGTGAAGAAGCCTTCGATGCTTTCTGGATAGCAGAAGCTGGGATATCTTGGAGCAGCTGTGTCAACGCCAAAGTGCAGACAGACATTTTGGTGGACGAGGCCCAAATCCTGTATAGACATGCTCCCTGGTTCTGGAGCCGTTTGAAAATTCTTATGCAGGGCAAGAACTCCCTCATACATGTTTTGCTTGTAAGCATGTATGGCGAGCTATCTGGGAATTGTGTCGGCACACCGATCACATTCCCACAGTCCCTTGGACTAGATGACCTGCGACTGCCTCGTCGCGAATTTGACACCCTTGTGGAGAACTTCATCAGCATTCGTTACAAGCCAGGTTTCACGATCCCAGACTCCACACGAGATGCCGTTTTCAAAATCACGGGTGGGCATGCTGGCCTTGTCCGGGAGACGCTAAGGCTCCTGCGTGATCGCAGTGGAGACGGGTGTTGAGGTGACGAGATGAACCGCTTCCTAGTCTCCCCCAGCTATCGGGGCCTTCTACATCAGGGCTCATGCTCGTTTTACTGGATGCAGAGTTGGGTACCAGATGCCGATGAAGTTGAGGTTTTGCGTCAGGCCCTATTCTCCCCGGACCTAACCTTTACTGTCGACATGGTAATAATCTGTGTTACCAACAGATCTTTTTTCTACTAATCCTTGTTTTGCTAACCACTCTTTAACTTTTTTAAGGATCTTCCGAAGTCGGCTGATATAGCCACTCGACTCATTCACCATGGGATCATCACTCATGCGGCTGGAGAGTGCATGCAGTTTGCAGCACCAATCATGCGCATCATGTTAGGCCAACGTCTCTTCTATGCGCCAGCTTCGTTGCGCTCGAAATTGCCGGCTGCACGAAACTTCGAAGATTTCCTATTGCGCAGCATTGAGCGTATGCGGCCGTCTGTCTTGCGAGAGTCCTTGAGTCGACGCGATGCGGATGCCCCTTTGCCGGAACGGGCATGGCAGGTAGAGTGGTACCGCGCGGCAACAACCTGCATCAAATGCACTACGATCAGTCCAGACGTCGGCCCGAGGTTTGGTGCGTTAGGCTATCTCGATTTTTATGTAAATAGCGAATTCATGTGGGGTGTGGAGCTTCTACGTGAAGGCAGCAGAATGAGGGAACATGCGGAGAGGTTCGAGCGCGGCGAGTACAGCAAGATCCCACTCAAGGCCTGGGCAATAATCGACTTCCGCCGGTTTCCTAAGAAGGCCATCACGTTGCGTCCACATTTCTGGTATGCACTGTATGCGGATAATTTTAATACGATCACAGTTCGGCGTGATCAATGCCCCGATGTAGTCATGACCCTGCGAGGCGATGAGTATGAGCACGACGCGTGATGTACCAGACCACTTATGGACAGGTCGTTTGCAATGTACAACAATGTATGCAATAGATACGGAATCGTAACAGATATGGTATTGCATATGTACAGTCTACAGTGATGTTTTGAAAAATAATTGATTTTATGTAATTTTATACGACTTTGCATTAGAACAAAAAACCATAATGCCGTAAAACTTGCAGTTTCTGGCTGTATATCTTGATCGCATGTTATACATGCCCAACCGATCTGTGTAGAAAAATGACAGTCGTGTTAGATAATAAAAGCGCGCGTTATTCTCATCAGTCCTAATGCCCCAGTGACGTCAAATGTTCACTTTGTCTGGTTTTGTTGCAGTCTGCCCCATATGACCACCCTACAGTCCAACCTTCAAATATGGTATCTTGTTGACCCGCAGTATAATATATGAGAGAAATACAAGAAAACAACGCATTCCAACATTTCTCTATTTTATAAACATTTGCACACACAGCATATAGAAGAATCATCTCGGGTTAAGTTTAACAGAACATTGTTAAACGCGGAAGTAATCGACTTCCTTTACACGATGTTGCTACCGGATATATACATAATATCATTGCAACAAACTCATATTGGATTTCCCAAATATGACGGTAGTTATTACATGGTTGCTGATAAACGCTTTTATCATTGTTATTCTCGATATGGATTCTGCTCCACATGTGGGATACTCCGATGTAGTCCCGTGTGGTGCATTTACGGTTATGGACTAGTTTTCAGCAGAAGATCGCTGTTTGGCATGGTTGTATTTCTATAGAATAAATAGATCAGTGTCCTGTTGCAAAGTTTGGGATCGATTATACATTCATCAGGAAGGATTAATTATAGACGAGCATAATGCTAATTAAAATCTAAGATGTAAGAGGTAGTCATCCGTTAAAAGTTTTGTGGTAAGCATGACATAAACAACCCATCCGTTATCATATACGTGCTGAAGACATTAGTAGATAGAATGTCAACCAAAGGGTTGATCCCATGTTAATGGAGAGTATTAGTTTATATGAATTTAAAAAACCAATCACGCAAAACTACGTGATGTTCACGGATCTCCATATTTTCATAAAAAGTTCTTTAATTTTTTTTCCCTTTTTTGCAAACAATTTCTTTGAAAGACAGAATAAGTAGTCCAGCGTAAATGATTCCTTTCAATAAATACTATACTTGAGAATTCGCATAGGTAATAAATCTGAAGTATATTCGCAAGCCCCGCAATCGACAAATCCACACGCTTATCACTGCTTACCGGGTGGTCTCTCTCTCTCTCTTTCAATGCCTGTTACCGTTTTCTCAAAATGCGGTTTTTCCGATGATCTAAACATAAAGTATGACTAACAAAATGCGTCACCGTAATTGGACAAATCCTTTATATTCTTTGCTGTCGAACTGCTTAGAAAAGCCCAAGAGTCTCAATTTTTCGTTCAATTGCTGTGTAATCTTTTGCATTACCAGCAGATTCTGCACCGACTTGAATGACATTCCACATCCCATGTGCGGTGCGCGCAACACAGCACATGATGACAGCTTGTGTATTAGCCGCCTTTTGGAGTTCGTATGTGCACAAATTCTTTTCCGGATGTTCTTGATCGAATAGGTTAAATTTTGGAGTTTTGAAATGTCCGATGGTTGGGGAATCCCATGAGCTAAGGATAAAAAACAGCAATGTTACTTCTGGAGGAAGTTCATCCAGTTTGGCTGTTATCTTGTGATGGCCTATGAAATTAGGATATTTAATTCGTTGGACAAGGTCATACATTTGTAAAGATGCAATAAAAGACATTTTTCCAGTGAGTCATGTTATGCATGTACGTATTACCTCTCTTGCTTGCATTATCAATCACATCACCAGAATGTTTCATGCTTGGTGTGGCTGGATAAAAGACCGACTGATAATCGTACTTTCGCCAGTATTCATTGCCAGTGTACAAGAAACAAGTTCCATCAAGATAATCTGGATTGTTTGTGGGAAATCCCCAGTCCAAATCGAATACCAGATTTTTAACAGATTCGGCTTGCGTAATTTCATAAAGAATGACGATCAGCTGTATGTGGCTGTTGGCTCTGACACCATAATCGACTAGTTTCGTGGCTCGGTTTTCGTTGGTATAGTCCTATGAATGCAGGAAGATAAGGCCAAATGGCTATTAAACAAGAAGTATTCCTTATTCTACTGACCATGAGTTCAACGCCATTGTACACCAACTTTTGCTTGGCAATTTCTATCCGATTCTTTGCATAAATCTGTTGTCGTAGAGCCAATACGGTCGAAACTACGCCATAGTCGATTACAATTCTCTCGCCATTCAGTAAGACTACATATATATTCCCTTTTTGAACGATTTCTTCCTTGTTGCCGGCAGCATTCATGTTTGCAACAAGATGATGCCGGCCGATTCTAGTGACATCAAGCTTAAACGAAGCATCCTCCCAAGCGACCGTCAATTGTTTGAAATCATCGCGGCTAACCGCAGCCCCACATTCCGGACACTCGTACTCTTCTTCTTTTTGTTGTTTTAGTGAATCGATCAGACACTAAAACATAAAGAAACAGCAAAGTTATGGTATTGATTAGCGTGTATTATTAGCACATATAAGATATGTGTGATCGTTCTTTATTACCCGGAGACAATGAGAAGATACGTGATCACAGCGTTCAGATAGAACAGCTGACGGAAATTCATTTGATAGTTTATCAATATTACACTTTGCGCACTTCATTTTGACTATAGAAAGTGGTCTTAAAGAGGCCTAACTGCAACTCTCTCCATTCAGTCAATCCTTTTTGAAATTTCACACGGACTTCAACCGCTCTTTATCATTCTACCAAATGTGCAATACCCAAGTATCTGTGTAACTGTAGATCTGCGCCAAAACATGAGATTCGTCGAACAATGTCAATTGGATAGCCAGTGTCATAAACGCTGTCAATAGTGGGATTGTTTAGGTGACGTATTATTTATTGCGGTCATGATTGAATAATATTAAGCAACACGATTCAACGAGAGTCAATTGTTTGAGACTTGTTTTATTTCGATATGTTATGCTGAGCAATGTAAATCGGTTGTAGGTGCTAAATCGGTTGTAGGTGCTAAATCGGTTGTAGGTGCTATTTGATCTAAATCGGTTGTAGAGAATTATTCCTTCGTATACAGTACCTCTTACACTGAAACCCTATCTACATATCTTTTACTTGAAGACATGCACATGCTATCTTTCGATTCTCTTCTTCGGATGGATTGAATCGATCAAAAATAGTCAACTATAATCAATCAATTGGCGTAGCTATGTTACATAACTAAGGCTCC